TTACCGTCTCTTCCCCTACCGCACTGCCCCCCTCCCTCCCCCGCCGCTTTTCCTTGCTCCTGGTCCCCCTCCGGTAGACCCCCTTCCCCCTCAGGGTCCTGCTCCTTCAGGTGTCTCTCAGGTAGACCCTCCTCCCGTCGCTGAGCCTGTCGAGGTCACAGGTGACTCAGGTGCTGCTGCGGGTGGTGCTGCTGGGAGTGCTGAGCCTGGGGGTGCTGAGCCTGGGGGTGCTGGGCCTGGGGGTGCTGGGGCTGCAGGTGCTGGGACTGAGGGTGCTGGAGCTGAGGGTACGGTGCCTGAGAGTATGGAGTCTGGGGGTGCTGCGCCTGGGGGTGCTGAGCCTGCGGGTGCGGGGCCTGGGAGTGCTGGGACTGCGGGTGCTGGAGCTGAGGGTACTGTGCCTGAGAGTTTGCCGCCTGGGGGTGCTGCGACTGGGGGTGCTGAGCCTGCGGGTACTGAGCCTGGGGGTGCTGCTACTGAGCCTACGGAGCCTCGGGTTACTGCGTCTGGGGGTGCTCCGGTTCGGGGTGCTGAGCAGTCTCTCACACCGCAGCAGCTTCGCGACTGGTACGTCCGACGCTTTCGCCGTCCTAGTGGCTCGGCTGGAGTTTGGGGTGCTGGAGCTGCTCGTCCTGGGGGTGCTCGTACTGGGGGTACTGGAGCTGCCGGGACTGGCTGTTCTGGGAGCACTGTGACTGGAGCTGCTGGAGCTGGGGACTCTGGCGCTGGCGGTGCTAGCGGAGTTGGAGCTGCCGACTCTGGGGGTGGCGCTGCTGCTGGTGCTGCGGACCCACCTGGTGGAGCTGCTGCTGGTGCTGAGGAGTCGGACGGTGGAGCTGCTGCTGGAGCTGGGGACCCGGCCGGTGGAGCTGCTGCTGGTGCTGTGGACCCGGACGCTGGAGCTCCTGCTGGTGCTGAGGACCCGGCCGCTGGAGTCCCGTCTGCTTCTGGAGACGCTGCGCGGCCGCGACCGTACTTCGTACCGCTCCTTCAGCAGGTTCTTGGGCAGGCTCCTCCTCCTTGTCCTCCTCCCTCCGTAGAGTGTCCTCCGCCTGTCCAGCCGCAGTCACAGTTACCGCCTGCCTCGCCTCTCCCTGCTCCCTCTCCTTATACTGGTCCCACAGGAGGTCTTACAGAGCATCGTGAGCCTGAGTCTCGTCCTGCGTCGCCTGTTCGTCCTGCTCGCACTGGTAGTCGTGTCCGTCGTGAGCGTCCTCCTCCTGTCCCAGGCACTCACTACATGACTCTGCGTCCCTCTACTGCTCCTCGGCGTGTCCCTCTACCGTCTCCTCCTGCGTCCTCTTTGCCTGCCGTTCCGGACCCTGAGTCTGACCGGTATCGCGCTGAGCACCCTACAGTCACGCGTCTCCTTGCTACTGTTGTCACTGACCCCACCTTTGAGTCCTCGGCTGCGTCTGCTCTGGTCGCTGAGTTGGTTGACTTTGCTGCTGCCTGTCGTCTAGACTACGCTGCTAGCCTTGTCGCTGAGTCAGAGTCTGCGTCTGTCTGTCCTCCGTCCGTCGGGGGTGAGAGTGCTCTTGGCACGGACGTCCTTGAGGACAGGCAGGAGGACTTTGACTCTCTTGCGGCTGCTGTACCTCATCTCGTGGCCTGGTTGCTTGCCCCTGAGGGAGACCCGGATGCACTAGACATCCCCACTCCGCGCACTTACGCAGAGGCGATCTCGGGTCCCTACTCCTCTCAGTGGCAGACAGCCATGGACGCAGAGATGGCATCCTGGAAGTCCACAGGCACCTACGTCGACGAGGTTCCCCCTCCTGGGGCGAACATCGTCGATGGCATGTGGATTTTCAGGGTGAAGCGGCCGCCAGGTTCTCCGCCTGTCTTCAAGGCTCGTTACGTTGCTAGAGGCTTCAGTCAGCGTCAGGGGGTCGACTTCTTCCAGACCTTCTCCCCCACCCCGAAGATGACCACTCTTCGGGTTCTGCTGCACGTTGCTGCTCAGCGTGACTACGAGCTTCACTCTCTTGACTTCAGCACAGCGTTCCTACAGGGCAGCCTGCACGAGGAGATCTGGCTGCGCCGCCCACCTGGCTTTACTGGGTCGTTTCCCCCTGGTACCCAGTGGAGTCTCCGCCGGCCAGTCTACGGTCTCCGCCAGGCGCCACGTGAGTGGCACGACACACTGAGGACTACTCTTGCGGCTCTTGGGTTCGCGCCGTCTACTGCTGACCCGTCGCTGTTTCTGCGCACAGACACGTCGCTGCCGCCGTTCTACATCCTCGTGTACGTCGACGACTTGGTCTTTGCTACTGCTGACACTGAGGCACTCGCTCGTGTGAAGTCGGAGCTGCAGAAGAGACACACCTGCACTGACCTGGGTGAACTGCGTAGCTACCTTGGCTTGCAGATCACCCGGGACAGAGCTCGCCGCACCATCACCCTGACTCAGTCACACATGGTGCAGCAGGTCCTTCAGCGCTTCGGCTTCCAGTTCTCCTCACCACAGGCCACACCTCTGGCTACCAGCCACTCGCTCTCAGCTCCACCTTCGGACGAGTCCGTAGAGCCGAGTGGCCCGTACCCAGAGCTTGTAGGCTGCCTCATGTACCTGATGACTTGCACGCGACCTGACCTCGCGTACCCTCTTAGCATCCTTGCTCGTTACGTTGCGCCTGGGAGACACAGGCGAGAGCACTGGGAGGCTGCTAAGAGGGTGCTGCGTTACCTGTGCAGTACATCAGGCATGGGGCTGGTGCTTGGAGGACGCGACAGAGTTGTCCTCACTGGTCACTCGGACGCCTCTTGGGTGGACGACCTGGCTACGCAGCGGTCGTCACAGGGTTACACCTTCAGCCTTGGCTCAGGTTCTGTCTCGTGGCGGTCCACCCGCTCTTCCTCTGTTCTCGGCTCTAGTTGTGAGGCTGAGATCTACGCCACAGCCATGGCTGCACAGGAGTTACGCTGGCTCACCTACCTGCTGACTGACTTGGGAGAGCGGCCTAGTTCTCCTCCAGTTCTGTACGGTGACAACAAGGCGGCTCTTGCCTTGTGTCAGGAGCACAGACTGGAGCACAGGACGAAGCACATTGCTCTTCGCTACTTTCTTGCTCGAGAGCTTCAGCAGCGCGGTCAGCTTCGGCTTGTGTACGTGGACTCGAAGGCCAACACTGCTGATATCTTCACCAAGGCGCTCCCGCCTAGTGATCATCAGCGGCACTGTACTTCTTTAGGCCTTGTGTCCACGTTTCCTCACTTGCTCACTGCTTGACATTCTTTGTACTGTACTTTATATATATCTTGTTGCTTGCTTGCTAGGTTTTGATCACTGTGTTGCTTGTCTTGTACTATATCTAGCACTGCATGTGAACTGGCCTTGTGGCCTTTACTTGTGCTCGGAGTGTGGTGACGTTGTGATCCACCCTGGGCTTTGTTTTGCTTTGCTGGACTGGTCTTGTGACCCTTTGTTCTCCCCCACTTTGCCTATGGGGGTGTGTTAAACTGTATTATGCTTGTAGGCTGTAGTGGGGTAGCCAATATGGGGTACAACCCCAACTAGGGTTTCATATTTGTACCCAAACTTCTGTTAGTTCATCCATTCTTGCCTAGTGATTCTGACAAACAGCATCAGAGTTCGCGTTTCACACTCAACGACGTCACAACAACTACAACAATCGACAGCAACAACCGAAGCCAGTACCTCCTTACTGGCACATCTGCAAGACTTCAGGGCACCCGCGCACACATTGCCCAAACCGTCAACAGTCAACAACTCCGCAACGGCATCTACGACCTTCAAGCAACCAAGTCACGTCAACACAGGCGAACCCAACGACCCAAATTCAAGCTTCAACAACTTCAACGGGACAACCTGCACAAGGAGCAAGAAACATCGTTAGCTGTATGGCAAGACTGAGTGACTCTTGCGTCACGGAATCACCACCGTACTACTCACCGGAAGAACAACTCGATGAAACCACTCCTCGACGCGAACTACTTCACCCGAACCCGACGTACGCCGCCATCGCCCAAAGCGAGCCATCCGGGAAGGACACATGGTTCCTGGATAGCTGCTGCGGGCAGCACATGTGTTCTTCGGGACGCTTCGTACAACGAGAGTATCAGCTTCAACGAGAAGTCGTCATCACCGTCGCCAACAACCAAAACCTGCGCACACGACGACAAGGAATCGTTCAACTTCAGTCACGGGAGACAAACGTCATCCTACAAATGTCCAAGGTTTAATTGCAGAAGGTCTCGGATACAACTTACTGAGCGTCAGTCAGCTGATGGCGAAAGGCATCCATCTTGAAGCAGACAGCACCACCCAGGAGTTCAAGCTGTACCACGGGAGAGGCGGTCTCTACATCGGCAAGGCGGTCCTCAAGAACAACGTCTTCGTTCTTGACTTCGTTCCGGACCTTGGCACCGCTGACTGTGACGCCATCGTCAATTTTTCTAATCGGACGCACCCTCCAGACCTTGATCCAGACTTCAGTCCGGGCGGCTTCTGGTACTCACACACCATTCCTGAAACAGAAAGAACAAGAGCGTTAGCAACGATTCAACAGTCGGCAGCAGCAGAAACAACATCGGCAGCAGCAGAGACAACATCGGCAGCAGCAGAGGCAACATCGGCAGCAGCAGAGGCAACATCGGCAGCAGCAGAGACAACATCGGGAGTAGCAACGACAACAACAGTAGGAACATCAACACCAGTCGCCGGTCCTTCGACGGCACCACTCTTCATCGACGACACGCCACCAACACCCGCACAGCAACTTCAACCAGCACCGCGAGAAGTTCACCGTAGCGCCAACTTCACCGCCGGCTTCTACTCCAACTCCGACATGTACCGACGCTCCCAAGGACACCGCGCCACTGAAGGAACCTGGCACGCAAGGATGGGACATCCGAGTCACACGGTGTTAAACAACACAATAAGAGCAGGAGTTCTTGACAAGGACTCACTCCTACTGACCGACGGCAGAGAACTTCAGCGAGCTCGAGGAACATGCTGTTAAATTGTAATGTGTTATATGTTGGTAGGCTGTAGTGGGGTAGCCAATATGGGGTACAACCCCAACTAGGGTTTCATATTTGTACCCAAACTTCTGCTAGTTCATTCATTCGTGCCTAGTCATTCTGATATGGTATCAGAGCAGGAGGTCCCTAGGACCTACCGACCGTTTTTTTTTAGGGCCCACCACCGCTCGCATGCGGTTACCACGCTACCCCGTGCCCTAGCCTCGTAGCGCCCTCGTGCGCCCTCGTTAGCGCCCTCGCGCGCCCCTCGTTAGCGCCCTCGCGCGCCCCTCGTTAGCGCCCTCGCGCGCCCCTCATTAGCGCCCTCGCGCGCCCCCCCCCCCCCCCCTTGCTAGCGCCCTCGCGCGCCCCTCGCTAACGCCCTCGCGCGCCCCTCTTAGCGTCGCCCGCCCGCCGAGCCGCCCGCTCGCAGCGTCGCCCGTCCGCCACGCTGCCCGCTCGCCCCTCGCCCGTCGCGCTGCCCGCTCGCACCCTCTCCCGCTCGCCCCGCTGCCCGCTTCGCAGCCCGCCCGCCCGCTCGCTGCCCACTTCGCGGCCCGCCCGCTTCGCTGCCCGCTCGCAGCGCCGCCCGCCCGCCCGCTACCTGCTTCGCAGCGTCGCCCGCCCGCTTGCTGCCCGCTCGCAGCGTCGCCCGCCCGCCCGCTGCCCGCTTCGCAGCGTCGCCCGCTCGCTCGCTGCCCGCTCGCAGCGTCGCCCGCCCGCCCGCTGCTCGCTCGCAGCGTCGCCCTCCCGCCTCGCTGCCCGCTTGCAGCGTCGCCCGCCCGCCCGCTGCCCGCTTGCAGCGTCGCCCGCCCGCCCGCTGCCCGCTTCGCAGCCGCCCGCCGCACTTCCCGCCTGCAGCGCTGCCCGCCTCTTCTGCTGCTGCTGCTGCTCTGCTGTGCCCTCACGCCTGAGCTATGGCCTCTATTCGCGTTCTTTCCTTCGATGCTGAGGGCCGTCCAGTTCAGTTCACTTCCTGGCTCGACGACCTGCAGTTGTATCTTATGAGCAATAGCACGGACCACATCTCCCTCTATGACTACGCGTCTGGTGCTGCCGCTGCTCCTGCTGCCACAGCCGAGCTTAGTGTACGTTCACAGTGGCAGACTCGTGACGCTGCAGCTCGCCTGGCTATTCGCAGTCACCTGCCGTTACCTGAGCTAGAGCACTTTGGCGACTGCAAAACCGCTAAAGCCCTATATGACGCTGTCGTTGCTCGCTACTCCTCACCTGCCACAGCCGAGCTTAGCCGTCTCATGCTGCCTTACCTGTTCCCTGACCTGTCCGCCTTTGCTACAGTCGCCGATCTTATCACCCACCTTCGCACTAGTGATGCTCGCCTGCGTGCCGCCCTTCCCACCCACATTCTTGCCTAGTCATTCTGATACATGCTTCACCTGCCCCGAAGCAGACCTAACGCGACAACCATTTCCATCTCACCACAATCCAAGCGCACCAGCTTACGCACCGCTCGAGAAAGTGTACAGCGACATCTTGTACAACCGCGAACCTGGACAGAACACTTACAACTACACGATTACCTTCATCGACGCCGCAACCAGATACGTCTGGCACCTCAACCTACCCAGCCGCGACATGGCCTTCGAAGCGTTCGTCGCGTGGCTTCCTGCAGCAGAAAGAGAATCGGGCGTAAAACTGAAAAGTTTTCAGTCCGACGGGGGAGGAGAATACACCTCACAGAGGTTCAAGGACTACTTGGCAGAGAAGGGAATCAAGCGGCTCATCTCCCTTCCCTACGCCCATCAACAGCAAGGTGTAGCAGAACGGATGAACAGGACACTTCAAGCCACCATGCGCAAGCTGCTACGTGGCATGCATCTGCCCAACCACCAGTGGCCCGAAGCAATGGACCACGCCGTCATGCTGCACAACTTGCTCTCGTCATCATCGCTCCCGAACAACGCATCACCGCACCTGCTGTGGACAGGAAAATTGGGCAACACAAAAATGTTACGAGTTTTCGGGTGCATGGTACAGTACCGACCACCATCTGCACGCGCCGGTCGATTCTCCCAACGAGCACAGTGGGGAGTACACCTGGGCATCGAAAAACACCACAACGCATGGAAAATCTTCGACATCAACAGCAAGGAAACAGTCGCAGCACGTGATGTAATCTTCTACGAACACCTCACCCTCGACGTTCATCTCGCGTACGTCAGAGCCAACAGACCTGACCTCACGGGCGGATTCACTGGCACCCGAGCCTTCGCCTCGGCAGAAGACGAAGCAGACTGGGACGAGCAGAACGTGGACAGAGCCTCGGAAGAAACCGGACCTCTTCCCTCCTGCAACATACCAATGGACGACGAAGACCCACGCGAAAGCATCAACGCCGAAGTTTACTACCACTTCGCCGACAACGGTTACGTTACACCTGCTGAAGTCAACACCAACGAAGCAGAACGCGTAGGACCCAACTTCGCACCTGATCCAGAAGCTGGAGACGAAGCAGTCTATCCCGAGGACACCACACTCCCCCGCTACACACAGAGTGGACTGCAAATCCTCGGCCTCGTCACCGCAGTCCACGGCGCCGACATTCCTAAGGAGCCTGCGACGGTTCAACAGGCTCTGGGGGGGGAGCATAAGGAAAAATGGCGCGAAGCCATGGACAGGGAATTGAAGGCGTTAGAAGAACGCAACACCTGGAAGGTCGTTCCTATCGGCGTAGCACGAAACAAGACCATACTTACCGGAAAATGGGTCTTCCGTGTAAAGACGAAAGCTGACGGCACCATCGACAAATTCAAAGCACGCTGGGTCGTGCGCGGCTTCGACCAGGAGCACGGACGTGACTTCACCGAAACCTTCGCTCCGGTCAGCCGCCACACTTCACTGCGAATTCTCCTCGCGATCGCCGCCATGAAGAAAAAGAAGCTGCGACAAATCGACGTCGCAAATGCTTTTCTCTACGCACCTGTTGACGCAGAGATTTTTGTGGAGCTACCACACGGCTCCAACACAGACTCCACGCATGTCTGCCAGCTGCTAAAATCACTCTACGGGATCAAACAGGCCCCGCGACTATGGCAACAGTACCTACACGCTCGCCTCATCCGCATCGGCTTCAAGCAACTCCCACACGATCAAGGGATGTATCGCCTCACGAAGAACGACGACTACGTTCTACTAATCGTCTACGTGGACGATCTCCTCTACATCGGGTCAAATGACGGCATCACTACCTGGTTCGAAGGGGAGCTGCAGCAAGACCTCACACTCACGGTCTCGCCTACCGTCACTCAGTACCTCGGCCTCAACATCCGAGAAGAAGAAGACGCGATCTACCTCAGCGCCGAAAAGTACGCCGACACCATCGCCAAACGCTTCGGTCTCACGTCGGCCGCGATCTCAACACCATACCGCTACACGACAGGAGCCGACAAGGGAAAATCCACCTTACTCAAACCCGCCGGCGTACGCGACTATCAGAGGAAGCTAGGATGTCTCCTCTTCGCAGCTGTTACCTGCCGTCCCGACCTCTCATACTCCGCAAGCCAGCTCGCCACCTACCTCAAGAAGCCCGAAACAGAGCACCTGGCGGAGCTCGACCGCGCTCTTCACTACTTCATCAGCACCCCGACGATCGGCCTAACCTACCACAAGAACGCAACCGCACCAACCAAGCTAATCGGCTACGTCGACGCCGATCACGCCGGCGACTCCGACAACAGGCGCTCACGCACCGGCTACGTTTACCGCCTCGAACCTATCGGTCCTATCTCCTGGCAGTCGAGCAAGCAGGAGTTAATCGCGCTATCTTCAGCTGAAGCAGAATACATCGCACTCTGCTCAGCCACCAAAGAAGGCCTTTATCTTCGCGAACTGCTGGAAGAAGCAAAGTTGGCTGAGTTACCCAGCTTCACCCTGTTCTGCGACAATCAATCAGCAATTCGCATCGCCAACAAAAACGGCTTCGCGAACAGGACGAAACACATTGCCCTGCGCTACTTCTTCGTGAAAGACGAGATCGAGAAGGGGAGACTTCAGCTGTCATACTGCCCCACGTCCGAGATGGCAGCCGACTATTTGACCAAGAAGCTCGGAAAGCAGAAGTTCGAGTACTGCATGCTGCTGACTGGACAGGGCCACGTCATCAGCAGCGACACTCCAGAAGCGAAGGGGAGTGTTGGAAACAGTAAATCTTAAGCGCTTCAGTCGTGTCGAAACATCGCACCAGAAGCGAAGCAAGCAGTACCGAAACAAACGCGAGTCAACCCTCGGAGGTTGAGAGGTTGCTGGAGGTTACGCGAAAGTCAAAGGTCAAGCGACCTTTGACCTGACAAATACAGCGCGACAGTTAAGGACACACAACTGACTCGTTACAGAGCAGTTGCCCGAGTCGTACTGTATCGAACCGCAACAGCAACAGTAAAGTAGTTACAAACTGCATCCTTTCATATTCCCTGTATTACTATATAATCTTGTACTTCCTTGCTATAATCAATCTACTTTGCCCTCACATACCAGCGCAAGGTGGTTCACAATCTTTCGTTAAAGCTTCCGCTACTACAACACTATCCTACCCAGAGTTCTCCCTTGAAAAGATCCTAAGGGGCTATCTCAGCCCAACAGCAACAACGCGCGGATGCAACCACGGAAAGCACCTCATGGAAGTGTTACTCAGATCCATGTAAAGGCCAAGAACTGGTTGGTTAGCAGTGATGCACACACTCTACAGTAACGCGAGGTCAGGGACCTCCTGCATACCATGTCAGAACCACACCCATACTGTATTACAGGCTTCTTGAGTCCAATCCATGAGAAGCACATGGTCAGTTCCCCCCACGACCTGCAGTATGCACAATACATGCTTCGATGCGTTCCTCAGGGTTTCCTGACCCAAGGCACTAGGCCAGAGGGAACGAAAAAAAAAACCTGAATCCATCGGCCACTCGACTATCCCTGGACTGGGCGCTATAAATCCTACGTTGACAACATAGGAACTGCTCAGACGCCATAACGCATGCAGGAGTCGATTGCTGCGCCAACAAGCTAACGGTAGATGCGGTGCAGACGGCCAATGGGCTTGCGACATGTGGGTAGTTGGCACACTCCATCAAAGGGTGCCATGTCATGGCATGACGTGCACGGCCCTAGATGCCCTGCCAGATAGACAATGGGTAGGTATGAGCACATAGTAAGGGAGATTATCGAGCGTATTCCTAGAGCGAAGGAAAAAGAAGAAAAGGAAAGAAAGGAAAAACATGGCACTCGATGCAATCACATCACCGCTGCCATTACGACACTCGCTGCAGTCACGACACTCGCTGCAGTCACGACACTCGCTGCAGTCACGACACTCGCTGCAGTCACGACACTCGCTGCAGTCACGACACTCGCTGCAGTCACGACACTCGCTGCAGTCACGACACTCGCTGCAGTCACGACACTCGCTGCAGTCACGACACTCGCTGCAGTCACGACACTCGCTGCAGTCACGACACTCGCTGCAGTCACGACACTCGCTGCAGTCACGACACTCGCTGCAGTCACGACACTCGCTGCAGTCACGCCACTCGCTGCAGTCACGCCACTCGCTGCAGTCACGACACTCGCTGCAGTCACGCCACTCGCTGCAGTCACGCCACTCGCTGCAGTCACGACACTCGCTGCAGTCACGACACTCGCTGCAGTCACGACACTCGCTGCAGTCACGACACTCGCTGCAGTCACGACACTCGCTGCAGTCACGACACTCGCTGCAGTCACGACACTCGCTGCAGTCACGACACTCGCTGCAGTCACGACACTCGCTGCAGTCACGACACTCGCTGCAGTCACGACACTCGCTGCAGTCACGACACTCGCTGCAGTCACGACACTCGCTGCAGTCACGACACTCGCTGCAGTCACGACACTCGCTGCAGTCACGACACTCGCTGCAGTCACGACACTCGCTGCAGTCACGACACTCGCTGCAGTCACGACACTCGCTGCAGTCACGACACTCGCTGCAGTCACGACACTCGCTGCAGTCACGACACTCGCTGCAGTCACGACACTCGCTGCAGTCACGACACTCGCTGCAGTCACGACACTCGCTGCAGTCACGACACTCGCTGCAGTCACGACACTCGCTGCAGTCACGACACTCGCTGCAGTCACGACACTCGCTGCAGTCACGACACTCGCTGCAGTCACGACACTCGCTGCAGTCACGACACTCGCTGCAGTCACGACACTCGCTGCAGTCACGACACTCGCTGCAGTCACGACACTCGCTGCAGTCACGACACTCGCTGCAGTCACGACACTCGCTGCAGTCACGACACTCGCTGCAGTCACGACACTCGCTGCAGTCACGACACTCGCTGCAGTCACGACACTCGCTGCAGTCACGACACTCGCTGCAGTCACGACACTCGCTGCAGTCACGCCACTCGCTGCAGTCACGACACTCGCTGCAGTCACGACACTCGCTGCAGTCACGCCACTCGCTGCAGTCACGCCACTCGCTGCAGTCACGACACTCGCTGCAGTCACGACACTCGCTGCAGTCACGACACTCGCTGCAGTCACGACACTCGCTGCAGTCACGCCACTCGCTGCAGTCACGACACTCGCTGCAGTCACGACACTCGCTGCAGTCACGACACTCGCTGCAGTCACGACACTCGCTGCAGTCACGACACTCGCTGCAGTCACGACACTCGCTGCAGTCACGACACTCGCTGCAGTCACGACACTCGCTGCAGTCACGA